AGTGGTAGTAAAAGGTGAAGTAGTTGTGAAAGTTTTAATAGATGGCTTTACTATAGATTTGGTGATAGTTGTTGTTGCTGTTGTTTATTCAACTTTTTCGACATTGCATCAGACAACTTTTCGTCATTCTGATCAATTAAACCATGTTTAGGGTGTGTCTCGGTTCCAGATATTGGATTGGGTTTTGATTCTTGTTTTTGGCGATCAGATTTGGATTTTATGTTTGTCCGTTGTATAGATGTTGAGTGAAATTGTTGTCGTTTACGTGTACTTTGAGGAGAACGATAAGATACTGTCGTTAAACATTATTTATTTATACATTTGTATTTAATTATTTGTGAATGAAAATAATCACTGAATAATTACCGAATTCAAGGAATTTAAGGTAATCACACGCTAAAAATAAATGCGGAAATTGTATTGAATACGAAAAAGAACGTGCAAATATACGTTTACTTTGAGAAAATACCATTTCTTTAATAATCATATTTTCATATAACGATAAAGTTTTTTGGCGCGATGTTTAATGTAGATCTTAATTTTTATTATTTTTAATTAACTATAAATAGGATGTTTAATGATCTGTTCTCCTTTTTGAACAATTGTTATCGTTATTTGTTCTGCTATTTTCAAAGTAATGGAGCCATCGACCGTTTCTTATTATAAAACAGAGTACATTGAGACGGTAACTTATCTTTAATTGCTTATCTATAGGTTATGAAAGTTTTAATACAATTTAATTGCTGCTAATCATTTTTGTTCTAAACGCGTATATAATTTTTGAATATTCTTTCGTCCCGTTTCTGTTCTACTTTTATCCATTTTGTTTTCTTATCAAAAAAAAAATGATGCAAATACCAATTAATTCATAAAGGATACCGGAAACAAAGTTAGTCGTAAATCTGTCATTTGTGGAAGTCAAAATATTATTTTAGGAGGAAAGGTAAATTCTCGTAATTCATCGTTGAAAAGGGACCCGATTTTCGTCTCTTTTCTCATTGACATTTTACTTATTGATCCATGATCAAACAAAATTGTTGAATGGCCAAAAAAAGACAATAATTCAAACAGACTGTGTAATTCGAGGAGACTTGCGTCGTACGGGAGGTGGACATGCAGTAGTCGTCGCAATTGGTAGATACTGTTTGTTGTCAAGGGGAAGTATTATACGACCACCTTATAAAACATATAAAGGGTAAGTTAAATCTCTTTGTTTACGAAGAGGAAATATATGATATTAAATTTATGGTATCCCATAATGGTAACAGGGCATTTAGCTACTACTCGATGAAGATAGGTGACCATGTTACTATCGGAGAGGGTAGTATCGTAGAGGCGGCAACGATTGGATCATTTGTGCATATTGGAAAGAATTGCGTTATTGTAGGAATTTATCTCTTTATTGATTGTATCATATTCTCTTAATTAAAATTAAAACTAAAACTAATATAAATAACAGGGCCGATTCGCAATAATCAAGGACTGTTGTCGTATAGAAGATAACACGGTGATTCCACCAAACACCGTTGTTCCTTCTTTCTCAATTTACGAGGGATCTCCTGGTAAGCAATCACAAACGTACACATTAAGAGAATAGATGAATTGCTTTATATTGATGATAATTTTTTTTGTTTTGTTGTTTGAAATCTATCATCAAAATAAAGGAGTGTTTGTCGATGAACTTCCAGAATGTGTTCAAGATTTATATGAAGCAAAGACCAAAGATTATTATGCAAAGTTTCAACTTCGAGGGGATTGATTTAATGGTAACGATGAGGATTATGAGACTGACGGACGTGACTACGAAGATAACGAGGACCAAGATTCTTCTTCAACAAATTATTCAAGCAGTGATACAAATAACAATTCTTCCTCTTCATCATCTACTCAACGGCAATATACATTACACCAACAAAGACAACAACAAAGATATCAACAACAGCAACCACATACCCATCTACATACCCATCACCATCATCACCATCATCAACACATTCATCAACATCACCATCACATATCGCCTTCTGATTGGAGTCTAATTAATATCTTATTGTTGTTTATTGTCATCTTACAAGTTTTATTAATTCGCAAATTATTCTTTGATTCCTCAACTAACAATAATAATAATAATCGAAACAACAACAATAATAATAATAATAATCTTAATAATAACAATGGTGATAATAGTGGTAATGGTAGGAATGGTAATGATATTAAAGCAACATCAACCACTTCAACAACAACTATCACCAAATCTATAGTAAAGCCATCTATTAAAACTTTCACAACTACTTCACCTTTTACTACCACT